ACCAATTCAGAGATGATTTGGGGATCTGCAGATGAGTGATACACAAATAAGATACATTTTTTGTTAATAGTGAAGGTACTTGAATGCATTTTTAGTATTTAACTCCTGAGTTTAGTGTCACTTTAAAGCTGCCATGGCTAACATATTTCTGAAAATGCTAGTATTTTGGCTGTCCCTGGCTTCAGCACTTTGAGTCACTGACCCAGAACAAGCATGGAACAAGAGAAGTGTGAGTGAGATCATAGCTCCTGGTCTGCATTTTTGTCGCTGATCAGTGATTTAAAAAGTGTTGAGGGCCATTGGATTAACATGACAGCCAGGCCACTAGCATTTGTAGCTGCACAAAACCATCAGTTCTGGTGAGAAGATCTCACCACTGGTCAAAAGGACATAAAAAGCCAGGATACAACTCGGCTTTCTAAGAAGCAGACAAAACTGATTTTTTTATGGTGGAGTTAGCCTTTACTGTAAATTTGATGCTGGGAAAGAATAATTCAATGCAACCTGTTGCTTCCAAGCCAAGGATGTCATTAGGTTTGTTTGTCTCTCCCATCCATAGAACATTTCCCTTTATTGTTGAATCCATGACCTTTCAATGCCGGTAGTTTATAAAACAGGAAGAGTGACCTTCTGCTTCTTCCTCCAGGCTATAGATTATAATCGAGATACTGTGAAATCAGGGGAAATGTATACTGTGCTGATATGTTTACAGTAGCTTTTGACCTGACTTCCATGAAAATATCAGGAGGCAGCCCAATTAAAACCAGATTTTAGGTAAGGATGTGAAAAGCCAAGAAAGACTATTAGCATTTAAATGGCAAACAAGGTATTCAAAATGTATCTTAAAAACAGTGAATAATATCTGTGTAATAATAGATTTGATCTAAATTCCAGGCAAACAGCTAAACACAGATGAAATGTTTATATGAGGGCTGTCAAAGAATTTCTATTTCTGTCCATCCAGTATTGAGATTTACAGAGCACTGTCACACAGCACAGCCCTGTCTGGCAGTGAAGAAGACCTGACTCTCTGCAGTTCAGTAACACCTACAGATCTTGTCCCTCCCCAGCCCATGACTGGGGAGCAAAAAAGAGAAGCAAAGGAGTGATGAGCTCATCTCTCTGTCACTCTGCTCCCTCCTCCTATTGCCCATGAGCATTGCAGCACTACTAATTGGCACCTGGTGCTGCTTCTTCCTCTCCAAGTCAAATGGCTGCTGTACAGGAACTGCTTGCATTTAAATAAATGTACATTTAATTATGTATTAATTAATACAGAGCTATGTCAATTATGTGGGTTTTGCATTCTGTTGCAGTGGTTGCATGTGATCCCTATGTGATCTGCAGGAATCAACTAAAACTACAACTCCCATGAGGCCTCAGTGTTCTCTTAGAATTGGAGGCATGCACCTTGGAGTGATTGACGGACCTGATCACTCCCCAAGTGCTTCACTGTCCAGTAGGTGGGCAGGAAATACTGCCAGTGGCTTCTTTGGGGGAGATAAGCATTGATAAACACTAAGGCCCGGTTCACACCTGGGCGTTTTGTAGCACGTTCCTACGCTCTGCAAAACGCTCAAACACCGAAATCCCATTATTTCCTATGGGTATGGTTCACACCTGGGCGTATTACAGGCCGTATGAACGTGCTACAAAACGCCCTACGCCCAAAGAAGTATAGGAGCTTCTTTGGGGCATTTTGGTCGCGCATATCCATTGGGATACAGCCAGGTAGCCCTCGGAAATGCGCGTTTTTTTTACTGCGAATCGCGGTAAAAACGCGAGACACAAAACGCGCGACAAACGCGCACATTCGATACGCCTAGGTGTGAACCCAGCCTAAAGGTGAAGTCTATAGTAAAATTAGAGAAGGATACTGTGTTGATGTCATTTATCTTGACACACCACTTTGTTTTTGGCTCAGTAGTGGATGCAAGGTAACAACGCTGATTGCTATTTCAATGGCACTATGTCAGTGTTGTCACCCTATTCAAGAAAGGTTATCCTTTAATATACAGAGAACTCAGACAAATGTGCACACATGTTTATTACATGTGTAATTTGTACTTTTTGACTATGCATACACTTTAACTCCTTGATGGAGCACATTTAAGTGCTCTTTATGTGTTGTTCTAATGCTTACATTGAGTTCAGGCACACAGCCATAATTACTTTACAATCTGATTCTGGACCTGGGCAAAAATAGGAAGTTTATAGTTTAATCAATTGCTTCCTTTAAAAGCTTCTTTATAAAGTGTCACTATTTGTTTATATTCTGTTCTATGGCACAATCTGTAAACGATCAGTACTGCATTAAAATACCTGTGGTCTTAATAATAGTTGCCACATTTCATTGCAATGACTCCGCTGGGATTCTGTAGTGTCCTGAAGTTGCCTGCACAGACATCAGTCCATCATGCATCTGCCGTAGCTTAATGGGTAGAGGAGTCCAGCTATGGATACTGCTTTTATGTTCACCTCTTAGCGGTCATACTACACCCCAAGTCTGCCATTTTAGAGGCACAACTGGAACTGGGATTTATTAGACCAGATGAGCTTTTTCTAGCCATTGAGAAACCAGTGACAATATGCTTTATCCCATTGCAAATACTTTTATCAGTTAATCATAAGTAGGATTTACCCTTTGCAGTTGTCTGTTATTAAACCCCATTGTAGAGTGAAATGCACTGCACAGTGCAGTATTTGGTATTGTACCCCTTAAATGTATTATGATGTTTATTGTTGTCAGTCTGCTGAAAAGCACCTCTGCATTAGTACAGTTTTCAAAGTCCGTTAGTGCAGCCATTCTTAGCAGCCTGTTCCTAGAAATAGGTTTGGATATTGCATGTCCCTTTACATGTATGTGACAAAGATGGCTGACTTGTGTGTGGCTGGGTTTCTGTCTTCTGGTACAATCATTGCATATTTACATGTGGTACAATACCCCCTCATTCTCCCAAAGAAAAAGAACCATGCAGGTTATAACTGCTGTCTGGCTTTCTTTCCATCTGTTTCTCATTAGGAACTTTTCTCTTCACTTCCTGTCCTGCAGACTCAACAGGAAGTAAGACAATATGGTACATATCCAAAGTAAGGAAAATTCCCTCTCAGACTGTGTCCCATTGTAAGATTTCCCCTCTATTTTGTTCTGTTGGGTACTCAAAATTTTGGACAATTTTAGAGAGTGAATCCCCCTAATGGCAGTAACAAAACCTGACTGGTTGTAAACCTTTACCACTCTCTCCCAATCTAAAAGAATGTTTAACCCTTTTGCTGCCACCAACGTAAAGGCTTACGGTGCAACACAACTGTTTCCAGCTGGCCACCTCAGTAAGCCTTATGTCGGTGGCTTTCTCCCTTCTGGTATAAGCTCATGGTCACTCTAGCCACCATGAACTTATATCAGAACAGTTCCCCCGACGGTCCCCTGTAAAATAAAAGCTGTCATCAATGGCTGTATAGCCGCTGATGACAGCTATTAACCAAAAATCTGGGCGACACCCCAACTCCCCACCCCTGCCGACATCTGATCGGCATCTCCTGCCCTCTCCATGCTTCTTCTCAGATCACCGCTGCTCTCCCCCGTCTGTATGGTCTAAGAAAGCAGAGATCTGAGGAGAAATGGCCGACAGGGGGCGAAGGAGGGAGATGTCATCCATGATGGCCGAGCAGTGAGCAGAGAGAGCAGGGAGCAGAGACGCTGTCATCTGTTCAGTTTCATGATGACAGCGGCTCCATGTGTGGCCAACCAGAGGATCGGTAAATATCTGTGATATATATCGATCCTCTGTGTGCAGAGAAAACACTGGAGTGATCAGCTGATCATTCCAATGTTTGTAAACAACTGAAGACACATAGTAACGTGTGTCCCCAGTTGTGAAGGAACAGGAAGTGCTTTACATTACTTCTTGTTCATTCATGAGTTTCTGAATGGGGAGAAGCACTCACTACAGAGGCTTCTACCCATTCAGAAACTGGTTGATAATAAATATTTTACTATCACCAGTTTCTGAATGAATGGGAAGCCTCTGTACTGAGTGCTTTCCCTTCATTTAGAACAGAGGCTGCAGAAAAAGATTGAGGACTCTGTGTCCTTAATTTTTTTTTCTGTTTCAAAAGGAGAATGTCAGGGGTCTTTTTAGACCCCTGATATTTCCCTGAAGCACCCCCAACAGTAAGAAAGTAAATAAAAAATGATAAATGTAAAAAATAAATACCCCCACACACATATTATACACGTGTAACAAAGCATTGTTAGAACACATCGCAGTACTTGATTTTTTTTCAAAATAACATTGATTTAACCGTGGCAGCGCGTGGCAAAGTGTTGTGACAATGCTATGCATTGTGATACTTTGTGTTCCGATTACATGTACGCCTGCATCATTTTATCACAACACACACACCAACAAACGATTTTTTACAGTTTTGCGTTACCTCATTTTTTTTACCGTTTCGCAAAAAGGCGCAATTTAAAATTTACAAATATTTGTTTTTTTATCTTTGAGATTGAGTTGGAAAAACTCATTATAGTGTGCTTTTATCAATTTAATTGTATTTTTATATTGATATTGATATTGAATTTAATATTGATTTGATAAACATTTGTGCAATTTATTGCAGGACCTACAAAATTAGTAGCACCATTCTATTGGGCCTGAGCTTTTTGAAAATATATGGTTTGGGGAGTCTTTTACAAACGCTAGCAACGTAGCAATAGAAAATCGATATACAGTTTAGGGGTACAATCAAAGTTTATAGCAATGTAGGGCTGTACCCAGGGGGATGATGGATGGGAAAATCATCTGCACATGGTGCTGCCTGCAACCAGAAAACTGGTCAAACAGTATTTTTGAATGCGTGTATCTGAAACTGATGATATAACAATAATATTAATTATTAACATTTTTATTAATATTAATCACAGCATTAGCATGTGTTATGTGAAGCGTGAATTCATTTTGTCTGATTTGTTTCTATGTATCTCCTTTCTTTTACAGGATCAGTGGTTCTGGCGCGTTCGAAATAACAAAGTCATGGATAGATATCCTATGCAGATTACCTACTTTTGGAGAGGATTGCCTCCCAGCATTGATGCTGTTTATGAAAACAGAGATGGAAACTTTGTCTTCTTTAAAGGTGAGATGCTTTGTCTGCATTCCTGTTCAAGTCATGGGTCACAATTTGGACTGCTGGTACACTCTGTTATGTGTCAGGAGTGCCAACGAACAGACCTATATACAGTATGTGCTATTAAAGCTTATCACTCTTAGTTGCCAAGTACCTGAAAAGCTTGTTTTGCAGTGGTAGAGATTCTAATTCAGATTTTGTACAGACACATCTCTTCATTTGGGGGAGGCGTTGCTGCACTCACTCATTTGGTTGTGGGTGTAAATTTCAGCTTAAGCTACTGAGCTCTGTAAACAGGCTTTTTCAGCAAAGCAGTTAAGCATAGTTTAGGGGAAATGTGAAAAAGAGCCCAGAGCTCACATTAAGAATAGAATATTAATTCCTTATTCTTTAATGTTTCAAAACTTTAAAGACTACCACCATACATTCCATTGCATAGGATGTATGATATGTGGACTGATTAAATGCAAATACAGTTTATTAGATTTCTTCTTTAAAATAAAACTAGTTGGAAATCTTTGCAACAGGCATCATAAAGTGCCTGCTGTTATCTTTACCGTACCAAATGCTATGGGGCATTTTTCTCCCCCATCCATCTCCCACAATTTTGGGGTCAGTGCCTAATCGACCAATTGCTAGGCCACGTTGTGTCATGTGGCAGACATGCACAAACTGGATTTCTGAAATTTGGTATTCGCATGGGAATTTTGGGGACCAACAGCACTGAAACAGCACGAAGGACAAATGTAGTATAGGTAAGGGCCATGATTAGTTAATAAACCTATACTGATTTCAAGTTTAGTTTAAATAACAATATTTTCTTTTCTTGAGTGCGGTACCGTGATCATCAGAATCATGCCTCAGACTTGGGGAGGAAAAAGTGAGGCTCTAGTTAGCAGTATAAGCAAGCTAGGCAGTATCTAACTAGTCAAGCAGATGGTTCTATCATTAAATTCTCTGGTCTATTAAATGAAAATAATCTCTTCCTCCTCTTAGCAGCTTTCCAAACTACATATTGATGTGCTTGGCTTGTGAAGGCAGCATTTACAGTAGCAGAGTTCAGACAGGATTACGCAAGTGTATTGCATATATTGAATCAGGGCAGCATCCTGGATTCTACTGCCAGAGGCAACATGTGTGGAGATGTGGACGTTGGGTGGGACGTGTATATCTTGGCTGCAGGAGGTTGAAAATCTCTGCTAGGTTTACTGATGAGATATTCCTACAGTAAAACATGAAGTTCATCAAAGCCTGCTTCGCACCCTTGTGTCAGGAAACACCCAGTGGAATATCTATATCTGATCTATTGTCTCTTTTATAATCCTTTGGGGTAAACACAGCAAATCTGCAAAATGCCGTACTTTTTTTTTTTCTTTTTCAAATGCTCTTAAAACGTTTAATAGCATAACTGTTCGATACTCATACATCTTCATTTTAAAATGTCTTGTCTGATCTCTGTTTCTCTGTATTTGATACTTGCACCTCAGTAATGCTGTTCCTAAACAGTTTGTATATCGTCCTTAAAGGGTTCCCTCCTAAATTCTCACCTACAATTCCCAGCATGCTCCTCTTCCATTACATTATGAGGTATATGACTGTATCTTGTCATGACTGACCTGTGACTAAAAGATTCACCCCAGTTCTAGCAAGAGGAGTGAGACTCTGGGTTGGGCAGTAACATAGTTGGGATTAGGAAATCCCAGTAGTTATAAGAAGCCAAGATTTAAATTGACCCTCCTGACAGGCTGCATAGTTTTTCCAAGTGTTTCATGTAAAAATTGCTATAAAACACCAAGTAAACAATTGTATTATGTAAATGAAATAGATGCATTCACTATCCAAAGCAATGTGTTCTCACCCCCAATCCAAAAAGCAATAAATATACTACAGGGATGTGGAAATTTAAAAAAAAACTACTTGTCCAAGGACTAAAGCGGGGGCCCGATCTACTTGTCCCTCATGACAATCTACTTGTCCTGATACAAAAAAAAAATTGTAACCAAAACCATATTTAGCGGTGCTAAGAAGCATTTCTCATTAGTTAGCGCCGTCAGGTTACCGCGCTGACCAACGAGTGCTTGCAATTTGCAAGTGAAATTCAGAATACATGGCACAGGTACAGATAGTACACCCATACTGGTGGACAGGAAGGACCGCTTGCCAAAAATGAAGTATAGCATGGAGGGAGAGGGGGCCAGATTTGCACGGGTAACTCAATTTCCCCAAATTACTTGGGAAAGTGAATTTACCCTTTAGGGCTGGTGCAGACTTGGGTGATCGTGTGCAGTTGCATTCAGCGGTTGCCACTCTGACCCAGTGATTTCAATGGGGTTACATCCGTGTGCAATCGCTGAAAAAAGATACACGTACCTTTTTTCATGACACGCACCATGCAGTGTTTTCAACCGTTATTATGTGCGATTGCAGTATTGTGGCGGGAAACCACGCAATCTGCCTGGCGGGACTGGGGTGCCATTGGAAAATAATGGCACGATTTTGTGCACAATTGCCGCCAGGTCTATGCATTTGTTTATTTGCATGCAGATGGTGGGGGCAGCGGGGTTGGTTTTAATTTGTTTTAATTTACTTTATTTATTTACTTTGTAAAAAAAAAATATTTTCATTTATTTCATTATTTTTTACTTATTAGTAATTACTTATTATTATTACTTATTTTATTTATATTTTTAAACTTTTTTTTCACTTGACTTTATTGCTATCACACAGGGGTCCCTGTCAACTCCAATACAGGAGTTCTAGCACAACACTGTGGGTGGAGCGTCCTGTGTCAGTTCTCTCATGGAGCAGAGCAGAGAACGGATATTCTCCTCTTTGCTCCCTGCTCTCTAACCTGATCTTATTTGCTGTGGTCCCGGGTCCCCCAGAAGAGCGGGGGACCCCAAAGTCCACGACAGAAAGGGAGCCAGTGGGCAGGGAGAGAAGCAGCTGGGAGTGGTAACTGAGGCAGCGGCCGGGTGAGGGGAAGGGAGGGGGAGGGAGGGGGAGTGAGGGGTGAGAGAAAGAGGGGAGGGAAAGTGAGAATCAGGCTGGTTACAAGTGATCTTGGACGGCTGTACAGACGCTCAAGATCACCTGTACAAAACAGCTCCCCTCTAGATTTAGCCCTGCTGCCTGCCCGGAGCTGGGCTAAATATAGAAAAAAAACTTAGTCCGAAACTGCATGTGCCCGGCATCGGGCGACAGAAATTCCACACCCTTGCACTATATACACTGCCTGACCAAATAAAATGTCACCATCTGGATTTCCAGGCAGTGTCATGATCTGGAGTTGTCTACCTGAGGTCAGCTACCTAACTGAATACACTGAATGACCAGGTTTTTCCATCAAAGCGGTTTTTTTTCTTCCCTGATGGCACGGGCATATTCCAAGATGACAATGCCAGGATTCAGCGGGCTCAAATTGTGAAAGAGTGGATCAGGGAGCACAAGACATAATTCTCACACATGGATTGGCCACCACAGAGTCCAGACCTTAACCTCAATGAGAATATTTGGGATTTGCTGGAGAAGACTTTACACAGCGCTCCGACTCTCCCATCATCACTACAAGATCTTGGTGAAAAATTAATGCAACTCTGGATGGAAATAAACGTTGTGACATTGCATAAGCTTATCGATACGATGCCACGAATGTATGCTGTAATCGAAGCTGAAGCTGGTCCAAAGAAATATTAGTGTGTGTGACTTTTTGCCTGGCAGTGTAATATATAATATATTTTTGTGCTCTTTTCATATGTCACTGTGTATATTACAATGACAGCCCTACCTTCATAATCATCAGCTCCATCCCTTCTTTTCACCCAGCCAGACCTGACTGTAACTTTGTATGACAGAAACATTACATGATTCCTAATGGCCCTCTAATGTAAGGAGAAAATTGAACTGCTCGTGATATCTGTATTGTCTAACTGAATTGAGTTAAATTGGAAAATGTCATGGCTGCTGTGTGCGAATTGGAATGTTCAAAAAGAGTGGAGAGTTCTGTGAAAGCTGCAATTTTTTAAAGCATCATCTCAATTTAGATTTCTTTTTTTCATCTTCAGGCAGAAATTGTTGAAATACTATAATAATATACAATTTTTTCATGTAAAGGGCAAGATTTATGAGTGTGGAAAGAAAAAAAAAACACCTTTCCATTTTAAGCAGTTAGGTGTGATGTACCATTTTGCCAATATTTCTGATCCTTTTGTTGATATACTGTAGATACATAGTAATTTTATTGTACGTCAGCTCAGTTCAGAATGCACTCGCATAAATAAATATATCTGCTGTCCTGGTGACCACTATTCCCCTCATTTCCCAATGGAGTCCCAAACAGATATAAAAACCTCACAGCAGTTGTGGCTGGAGTAGGGATGTGACAAAAAGACAAGTGGGCCTTCAATGAACCATAATATTCAAATTTTTGATTGTAGAAATTGCTCAGTGGATTTTAACAGACCAACGACAAAGCTAATCTGCTCAGGATCCCAGTGACTGTTCAACATGGTTCTATTACATCACCTCTGAACTAACCACCCACATCAAAAAATGCTAATTATTTTCATCTGTCTATCCACATATAACAACAACATATCGCCAAATATTAAATGTATAGTGATGAGAGATTAATAATTTTTTTAATGTATTTTCTTTCTTTCTTTTACAACTAAAAAGTATCTTTTTACCAAATATTTTTATGTTCGTTTGTCAAGTTAATATAGATTATTGTATATGAATATATCATATCTACCAAGCAAGTAGTAAGCCCAAGGTTCAACTGCAGTTTTTTGGGGGGCCTCGTTTGGTGCTTTACTGTAAATGGCCTGAATAGCCTAAATCAGGGGTGCCTATTAAGTCGATTGTGATCTACCAGACGATCGCAAAGTGAACACTGGTAGATCGCGATTGGATATGTCCTGTGGGGCTTCTCCTCTGGGTCCCTGCTGCTCTCCCCCATCTGTATGCAGCGGGATCCGAGGCAAAGTGTAGGAAGCGCTGTAGGCGGCGTGGGGGGCGGAGGATGGAGCCGCTATCACAGCAGCATGGCCGAGCGATGAGGAGAGAGCCACTCAGCCAGGATCTGACAGCCGGCAGCTCTCTCTTCACCGCTCCGTCCTCTGCCGCCGGCTGCAGCGCTTCCTTCACTTCTCCTCAGATCCCCACTGCATACAGATGGGGGAGAGCAGTGGAGATACAAATGAGAAGTTGCAGGCCAAACCAACTTATGTGCGTAGCCGAGCAGTGGAGGATCGCTATATATCAGTGATATGTACCAATCCTCTGTGCAGAGCAAACGCTGGAGCGATCAGCTGATCACTCCAGTGTTTGTAAATAACTGGGGACACATAGTTGCATCACTTCCTGTTCATTCATGAGTTTCTGAATGGGGAGTAGCACTCTGTACAGAGGCTTCTCCCCATTCAGAAACTGCTTGATAGTAAATATGTTCTGAATGAATGGGAAGCCTCTGTACTTTCCATTCCTTTAGAACAGAGGCTGCAGAAAAAGAGATTGAGGACTCTGTGTCCTCAATTTCTTTTTCTATTTTAAAAGGGAAATATCAGGGTGCTGTTTAGACCCCTGATATTTTCCCGAAGTCCCCCCCAACATATAAAAAAATTTAATTAAAAAAACACATCTTGGAGGCGGGTGCTGGGTGATGTCACGCCTGTTGGGGTGGCACATTTTTTTTCTTGCCTCGGGCGCAAAAGTTGCTAGCTACGGCTCTGCTCCCACAGTGCTCGTGCGGCAGCCGGCTAAATGTGGCAGACGCCACAGACAGGAAGAGGCAGGACACCTCTCCACGTTGGCCACATGAGCACCCTGGGAGGACAGGACTCCGGCGCACGAGAGGAGACCCGGGGAGCTGCTGCAGTGGAGATAAGAAAAGACAGACAGGAGAGAGACAGCAGAGAAAGTGAGAGAAGAGAGACAGCAGAGAGAGAGAGAGAAGAGACAGCAGATAGAAACGTGAGAAAGCGAGGAGAGAGAGAGAAGAGACAGCCAAAAGAGAGGGCCGGTTCACACCACAAAGTCTGCGTTCCAGAGTGTCCGGCCTCTAGAACAAACTGTAATGCAAGCCAGCCGGCTCTCTGCGGGAGGGGGCGTAATGTTGTATTGAAGTCAATGACACCACAGCCACGCTCCGCAGCCCACAGTGCGATCGCCCCCACCCGGAACGCAGGCACCTGCATTCCAGTGGGATCTGCAAAAATTGTGCTTGCAGCCTGCGTTCTGGGTGCGGGCGATCACACTGTGTTCCGGGTGCGAGCGATCACCCCTCCTGCCCCAAAATGCAGGTGTTTTTTTGCTGGTAGATCTAATTGAGCTCGTCATTTGAAATGTAGATCTCCAGATGAAAAATTGTGGGCGCCCCTGGCCTAAATCATAATGACACACAGCTTATTGTCTCAGAGAAGGGATTCAGCTTCACCACCTCTTCTAACAAAAAGACACAGTCTAGACTTTCAGCGTGTGGAGACAGTAAACAGGCACAGGCAATGCTGGGCTTTTACATTGGAAACTACCAAAACACACAATAGACCAGCGCCAAAAAAAAACCTCTTTACGATCAGAAGATGATACTTTTTGCAATCCAGGAATGGCTGCCCCGTTTCAGACAAGGGATACCGTGCACTGCATAAAACATAAGAAAACAAACACCGGGCACCTTTCTTGGTGCAATGAAACCTTTTAATCAGTTAAAACATATACAAAACTATATATGTACTCACAAGGAGAGCAAGGAAATAAGCAGCAATTGATATATGTCCTTAGTGGCTGTCCTGAAAACAGTTTCAGGCAAGAGAGTTCCCTTACTATGGGTGTTTGAGAAATATGTTATCCAAGAGTAGCAGCCTATCAATTAATCAATTAAAAACCAAATGTATTAGTTTTGTATTGATGGAGCATGGATCTTCACACATAACTATTTGTATTGTATAACTGACACATCTGTGTCAAAGATGGGGACGAGGAGGCATTAGGGAGTATTTTAGTTATAATTTCAGCTCCAATTTCAATGTTTAGATTGGCTTAACAGTAAGTGATGGGATAGACATGATTTTGGCATGATTTATGCACTAGGAACTCCTGGCGCCAAACACTACCACACACACCTTCCCAGACTGCCTATTAACTGCAGTGCAACTGCCAAGAAAGTAGGTAACTGTCTTAATTAGTTACAATTCATGATTTTAACAGCCCCATGTTTAGAAACAAAACCCTGCTTATAGTTGGAAATACTCCCTTAAAGCAAGTCTGACACTAAAAATAAAATTGCAGGATACAGGTATTCCTGCAAAGAAGATATGGAATACTCACCTCTTCCGTGCCGCTGATCTCTGCAGTAGTTAAGAGAACCTGATGAATGAAGATCCTGCAAAATTTGACACTTCCTGGAGTGTCAGATTCCTGGTTCACAACTACACACAACAGTTCTGACAGGAATCTGACACTCCTGGAAGTGTTGCAGGATTCTCAACTGATTGTTTCTCTTCACTGCTGCAAATATCGGTGGCACAGATCATGACAGAGGGGAATATTCCATGTCTTTTTTTGCATACAGGTATATCTTTTAATATTCCATGTCTTCTTTGTCTTAACTGTAGATGAATGTTCCTGGTGGAGTGTTTTAAAATATAGTGAAGGATTTTACCACCAGTGAGTGTTTAATGAATGCCACATTTTCTGCTTTATAAATATGCCCCTTATAGTTGTACAGTTTTGTTTTTGGTTTTTTTAAGAACTGATTTACACTACATAGCACAGCAACACACAGCACATAACACGTATGTTCTGCTATACGATGTAAAGGCGTATTAAGATGTGGTATTATAATGCATTGCAGTGGTCTTTTGTATCTCTGTTATTTCTAGGAGTTTAAATGCTCTGCCATATAATAATGCTTCTATATTATAGCAACCAATGCAGCACATTGTGAACTAGCCCGATGCAAAGCTAGGCTTTTTTCCATGTCTTTTCATTGGGCATTGCTTCCCAACAGGGCTGGTGTAAGCCGCTCCTTAATATTTCATAGTGTGATCTCAGACAACTGGGAAATGCCTATTAGCTAAAATATGCACATTCTAAACAATATTTCTAGAAAAAGTTAAGTGCTGAAACTGGTCTTCAGATTACTTGAGTTTCAAAGATATTTCTGCTGCAATATATA